GGGAAAAGTGAAATTTTTGGAAAGATGGGGCTCATTGATGCTGTGTCCCCCCAGGCCGTGCTGCCCTTCTCCCTGGCTCTGGGATTATGGGGAATTTCTCCCACTTTCCCCACCACCTTCCCCATATTCCACAGGGATTTTGGGGGCACAGCCATGGAGCGGCGACTCCCGGGGATGCTGCTGCTCCAACCCTGCTTGAGCCCCCTTTTATCCCAATTCCAGGTGGCTCCAGCCCTGCTGTCACCTCTTTTATCCCAATTCCAGGTGGCTCCAGCCCTGCTGTCACCTCTTTTATCCCAATTCCAGGTGGCTCCAGCCCTGCTGTTACCTCTTTTATCCCAATTCCAGGTAGCTGTCACCTCTCTCCCCACCCTCCCCGGCAGGACAGAGCCGTGGCAGCCCCCACACTTTGCCGGGAGCTGGCACAGGCTCCTGCAGCACCRGGAATTTCTCACAACGCCCCCAGCCGAGGCTTTTTTTAAAGCGTCAGCTGGAGCTTTAAAGAGCTGAGCTGCTTCAGGATCCTGGCGTGGGAGGAGGGCAGCAGGAAGAGCCAGCTCCTGGCCCCCTCCTTGGAAAGGAGATCTCTGCAAGGTCCTGCTCTCCTCTCCTGGGCACTCACCTCTCCTTTGCCACCTTCTGGAGCTGCAGGAAATCTTTCTTCAGGCTCTGMAGCTTCTCCTGCTGCTGGAAGGCACTGGGGGCGAAGCCGCAGGAGCTCAGCTCCTCTGCCAGCTGCTCCAGGGTGGCCAGGTCCTCCTGCTGCTGCCTCAGCTCTGAGTTCAGCTCCTGTAAGAGCACGGGGAGATGCTGACCACGCTCCCCACTGGACAGTGCCGTGTCCTGGTGAGCTGGACAGATGCTCTGTGGGCAGTGCCATGCGTGGCACCGATGCCAAGTGTTAGGCACAGCTCGTTCCCAGCTGCTTCTCCAGCCCTAGCTCAGCAAATACTCGGGGATGTTTTATTGAATTAAACCCACAGAGCTTCTCATTGGTAAAATCCTGCTCCATTTGGACTGGATCCTAAAAGCCTGGCCATGGATCCCAWMTGAAACCAGCCTGGATCCYRGAAAATGCCATCMACTYGTCCCACAGCTGGGAACAGCCYRACCCACCCCAACCTTCACATCCCACCAGCCCGAATCCTGGGAAATACTCAGACCCTAGGAAATGCCACCCCTTCTCCTACAGCTGGGATCAGCCTGACCCTGCTAGCCC